CTCGATGTTTTAGTGCACTGTAGTTTCGGTCGGATTTGATACCTACGCCTTACATTGTGGCTTTGGTATCAGTGTCCAGAAAAATAGTTTGACGCGTCAATAATGAAACCGTATCATACCACTAAATAAAGATAACTTCTGATACAAATACTACTGAGATTGTATTCAAAATTTATTTATTGTTCAGAGGCACCAGGTACTCCTGATGGTCTTGGGTGTGGGTTTTACTCCTTTGGATATCGTTAATCTCCCACCAGTTGAACGCATTCCGATGCCATGGAAACTGACGAAAATCACTGGACAGCCACTTCTTCCCGTTTGGAACACGTTAGCAGTGTGCACTTTTTGTGTCTGTCAGGTCTCGAAACGAATGGGACTTCAAACCCTTACTGCTGAGCCACAAGGTCGACAATCATCACCTCGTGCTTATGGCTCAATCAATTAAAGGATATCAAGCTTGGATTAAACCATTTGATTGTTCGGAGGCGCTAGGCGGTCTTGATGGTTCTCTGAACAATAAAATGAGCTAACAGAAGCTTATTACTCTGAGATTTGTTTATGCTCACCCCATTGTTTCCGTGCTGACACAACAATAAAAGTAATAAATATTTTCACGTAAACCGACAAAATGTTTACCAAATTACACTAAAGTTGGGTGATAAAATCAATTAAGCACATGCTTCTTGTCAGAGAGACATTTACGATTCGGTCACTGATGCTGCCTGTCGCTCTGTTAGTCAAATTATAAAAAGCATTCAGTAGAGAAAATGCTTTTGTTTTATATCTTTCCTAACTTTTTGGTGTTGATTGAAAAGCGTTGACAAAACTATTGATGAGTAATCAAGAGAAGACCCAGGTTTGCGGGATTTTACAAAGTTCAATTTCCAGCGGAGTCAAATTTTTGATTTTCATTTTTTGTAAATAAATCACTAACCAAATTTTGTAAATTGCTGAGTGTTGAAGCATGTCTGTTTGACATTTCAGCAAATAGAATAAAGCTGTATGCGAGAGTTATTAAACGGTCTGAGATTGAAAACTCGGAAGGTGATTCACTTCATCTTTATTGAAAAGCCGATTTTTCAGAGAACAGTTGGAATCATCGTATGTTGTATTTCATGTTAGTCTGCAGGGTGTGTTTTAGTTCAGTAAGAATAAATAACATCTTATTATGGAAAATTGTAAATAAATGTGCGCTGCACTATGCAAAACTGGCTCGAAAACGGAAAGAATGTTGGCACTTTTGTAACAGCAGCTTATCTTGGAACACGTGCAAGGTGCTATATCGGTAATTAGACGTAATCAGAAGGGATATGCGAAAAAGGAGAGAGGATTAAAGCAAATTGGGATTCTATTGAAAATGTTGGAAATGGGTCAATTTACGCTAACGCGCTGCTCTCTGTACGCTGGATAGTTTGAAAGCCAGTTGAGTACCACCGTCGTATTTATGAATGGTTTCGTGGCAGGCATTTTTGATGAATGTTTTTCATAAGTGTGAAGATAACTGTTAAATATTGTCAATAAATACAACCCAATGTGCCAGTTGGTACCTTTGTCAGAAGTGTATTGCTGCAATCGTATTTTATTGGTGAGATTGTCCTTAATTTTACTGGTTATTGGTCAATAAATTATTATTCAGTCTAAACATAAATAACTTTTATTTAAAATTATTTGTTCAGATTTTGTTGTATTCAATGAAAAATTAATGAAGGTAAATCTCTCTACAAAAGTAAAAATTCCAATAGTATGACCATATTTTAATTGATTGATCCTAAGGAGAAATGTTTCTCAAAATTATATGATGTTTTATCTACATCACACTGCTATATACCGAAAGAATGGTGGATTAAATATTGCAAAACTAAGAAAATGTGAGAATAACCTCTTCAGCAATTTTCTAGTATTTTTTGACGAAAAAATACATGCATCCGCTTGATACCAAGATAATAGTTTTACTCGATGCCTTCGGAAATTGGCGTTAAGCAGCAAGATGTTTGAACTTATCTATAATTATTATCTTGAGACATTTGTAATCTAAAGTCATATGCACAGAAGTTTCAAATTGCCAGGAAACAAAACACACGTACAAAAAACATTGGAAACATTTCTGATAGACCGTCAATCAATATGGAACAGTTTAGTAATTCCTAGTACCATGATGACCGTTACATCAACTTGGTGTCACAGCTTTTAGAAATGCAAATTGATTGATAGATATTGTTCATCTATACGAGACGACATGAGCATATAAGTTTACGCATATCACTGAATGTTTCTCGGGTGATTGGAAAGGTTCCATTGTCTCAGTTTGGTAGGAGGACTATCAGGCGTCAGCCGTGAATTGGTATTAGATGTGCACACTGTCAAAAGACTAACACTTTTTCTTTATTCCAAACTTCCTATTTCACATTAAAGCAAGGCATTATTTGTCTTGTTAAATTCAGTCGCGCAATTTCAATACATCTAAAAGACATTTGCTCCTTGAATCGGAGGCAAAATTTCAGATTTCCAGGAGCATAAGACCTTTCTTTCAAATTTATAACGTTGCGTGCCCTCAAGCTAATAGCGTATATGGGTATATCTTTCCAATGAATTCATTCTCAAGGTTGCTCAAGCAAAATGATCCCAAAGCGAATTGAGTAAGATGGAACACAAGGTTGGAAGTTACACGTTATCCGGAGCAAGTCAATACTATGATGTCCGTTGTTCATGTCAGCTCCATAATGTCATAGGCGTTTACACGAGCGATTCACTCTTTGCTCTCCATCAAGATAATTAAAGCAAATTTCAAAACAACCTACTGCTTGTGTTACACTTGATATTTTTACTCACAGAACTATTGAGTGTTATACGGAGACACTGAAGCTATATGAGATGTGCCGAATGGTTGGGCAGTACAGGCACATCGGTTAAATCTTCTCCAGTTAACATGTGGTGCAGCGTGCCCCCTTCTCCTTCCTTATTTCTTATCCACGTTTTGCCACATCAACATTTGTGGAAAACAACTATTACTACATCCCTACCTTTTGATCCAACTCGCCTTCTGCAGCGTGACTAAAGTTTGTGCGTCGAGGCTAAAGGACAACGGATCGTCACTAACGCAATACGGGTTTTGGCAAAGGAACGTAGGCAATGGCTCAAGGATTGTGAATTTCGGCTACAGCATTTCGGGTTTTGGCTAAAGAATCACGAGTCGAGACTAAGGGACTGCGGTTTTGGCTGAAGATTGATGCGAAAAGATGTAGACTCAAAAAAAAATTTTATTGAGTTGTAGAAACTGATAGGCACCATTTGTCCCCTTTCTTATTAGAATTCTAAGCAAAAACATCATTTTACGACATTTGGAAACTCATATACAGATTATGACGACGTAGCCCCCAAAGTGTATCTAGAAGAGCACCATTGGTGCCTGTTTCGAAAATCAGTCACTGAAAGCATTACTGAAGGTCAAGTTCCGCGCAAACGAATTCAACTCAGCCCCATATTGTGGGCAGTTGGTTGCGTTTAAATGATTTAGGCGCCACTGGAGGGAAATTTGATCTCTACTACCATCGTAAGTTGTTTCAGGCACTTGCGCGTTTGTAGCAAAAGAACATTTGTGCGACAGATTGTTTTCTTTCGTGAAATCGATTAGAAAAAAATAACCAAATAGATTCTGATAACTTGGCGTCCGATGTTTGTCTCGTAAATTGTCTTTACTTCGAATGCACATAAAAGTTTTTGAAAAAACTAATTCATCTAATTATCATACTTTTGATAACACAATTTTGCGCTCACCATTTATTTGCCCTTCGTCGTGTTTCAGTGCCCTGGCCCATCCATAAACAACCGACGTTTAGCTCTGGAGGCGCCCTTGTTGGCCAATCCGATTCTGCCTCAGAACAGTCAAGCTCTGGGCCTCATACATCCTCGATTCCCTATCACCACAATGATGGCCGACCCGCGCTCGTTTCAAATAGAAAACGCAATACATTCTACCGGGACCCATCCTAGCCGCAGCAACATTCAAATCTTGTATATTGGTACACGTAAGCTTGTTTTCATTATCATTGCAAACCCCCAAAACTGGAGTTACACGTACAAGGAAAAAGTGGTAACCATTCAATGAAAATAATTTATATTTCTCCAGAATAACTTACACGAAATTCACAAATAAGAAACATTAGGTATATGTATGCCCAAGTCCTCCGCGTAGCAATGGTGACCCCGTAGTACCATCACCAAATTATTACTCCGGGGATGTGTATTCGAATCCCACCACCACCGCCTGACTTTCCTCATTGTGTGTTGAATAACAGCTCTTTGATTGGCCAGTTCCTTCTTCCTGACAATTGTATCTTTGCATAATCAATAAAAGAGAATAAAATGGAAAGAAGGAAAGAATGTTGTAGATGATAAAGTAGGGTTAGGATGTGTTTTCAGGTGTTCGCATTCCACTGAGCCCAACTTTACGCAAACAGCCATCTAACTAAGTGAAATGTGAACAATATTATGAGAGTCTACCTTGTTCCGCGAGAAACTAACGACTGATTGTTATCAACTCCCATTTCATATCATCCAGTGGTAAATATTATTTCCAAGGGATATCAGACCATGATTTTAGAACACGGCTAATGGAAAGGAAAACTGATGCGCGTGGGTTTCCGTTCATAATCTTTACGAAACGTCTATTCTTGCTCATTCTCTCTCTTTATTGGCAAGGTGATCTGTTCATACGTGGCCTGTGACTGTGATCTACGGGTATAGGTGATGTGTGAAGTCGTGTGCGTATATATGAATAAGATTCCATATCGATGATCTGCGAGTGATTTGATCAACGAGAAAGCATATGCAGAGTTAAATCAATAGTTTTAGTAATTATTCCTGGGTGAGGAAGACGAATGATCACAGCTTCAAATGAGTGAAATGAAAATTATTAAGTGTAGGGTACTAGTCAAAGGCTGATAATGGTCGTAATCCAGAACGAATAAGAGAGTACGCTCACAGAATTTATCCGTAACGAAATCCCGGTGTACACTCCAATTTTTCCGTTGCTCATCATTAATTTCTAGAAAGATATCACTTTAGACACAATTAAGCTCTTGGATCAAGAAACTTTGAGCCCCAATTCTATGTGCAAAGTTGAACACTTCGTAAAAACCAAAGATGTTTGGGTAGTGGGGAATATTTTACATTGTTTACCGAACCCAAGCAGACCGTATATCAAGCAAGGATCTCCAACAATATGGTACATGTGACCATTGGGCATTTTGTATTGAAACTAAATTTGGTCCCTGATATTTTAACATCAGTAGGAGTCAAATAGAAACTAAATACAGTGCCGGAAACGTTTTGAAGTATTCTTTTCGTATATCGGACAGTGGTTTACCAAAAACATTAAAAATTAGAATATTCGTCTAACAGCACGCTTGCACATTCCATTCGCAAAAAAATGAGCTCAACACAAATGGGTGACTCTAAGTGCATCAGAAACGCCCTGGAAGCATGTGAAATACATTCAGGGTTATGTCGAGCACTAATGCTCTGTAACCTAAAGTCTACTTGATCATACTTCATAAATTCGCCTGTCTTTGTTCTCCACGACAACAAGTTTCAGTCATTGTGAACGTATAACCTTTTAAACACCTGTTATAAGATACATTCGAGTAGAATGAAGACTTTCGCCTGATTTGCTGTTGTTGGCATTAAACAAGGGACAAATGCTGGTCTACCGAGACGATGGATTGAAGGACAGTTGTACGGCTACAAGGAAAAATCTCTCAATGCGCGTAGCGGGCAAGGTTTTGGATCAATTAGTTCTATCCACTGTAAACGTTGATATGAGCTTCAGGCAAATATATTATATATATTCTATATATCCTTTACGCAATTAAAATAATAACTATGAGAATAGCTCTTTATGTGACTTTTACTCGTCTGCAGCGAACCGTTCAGTGGGTCAGAGACCTAAAGACCTAACGGTGAAAACCAAACTCCTGGATGAAATGGAACCTCAGTCTTGAAGGTCTGCATGTAAGAGAAACTTACCGGTATAACTAAGTCAGAGAGCAGGTTTTCAGTTAACGCAGTTTGGAAGAAACTCAGTTGAGGTACGGGGATCATTTGAAGTCTAATCAGCAGATTTAAAAATCTGTTCTTATGCATATTCTTCAGGGACACAATCATGGAGTGTTTATTTTTCAACAATTAGCTGCCTCCATTCACCGGATTACGTCACTAACGTTTACTCCTTGTACAAGAACAACCTTCTGATATAATATCCACTCCACTGTCCTGATTGATCTTAAATAGCATGTTTGAAAAATCAATGCAACGGGTTCTTTATGAGGGATATGAGTCTTTATATCCTAGAAGAAATGAAAAAGCTGTTGTTTAACAACGTGTTAACTTAGAGTTGGTACCTTTGGAGTTTTTTGTTCAACAAGGTGAGAAGCGTTGAACAATACTAGTTTGTAGATAACAGACACTCCTCGCTCTTAAGTGCGGTTAGTTTTTCAATCCATTTTGAACCACCTAAAATGCATTTCGCACTTTTTCAGTGGATTGTTTGCATCATCACGAGTTCCACTCCTGTAAAGTATGCTTATTCTGTAAACCCTAAAAACAACTTAGCTGTGTGCAACTTCTTCAGAAGTTCAACGTTATAGTTGGGGCGAGGGCGGAAAGTAGACCGGAAAACCGTTGAACTCAAACCTTTCGAGCTTTTTATTTTTAACCTTTATTGGGATGATTTCCAAAGGCAGGATTTATGAATGAAGCAAACAGAATGAAGGTGTTTCGGAAATTAACACTCAAATTGACTAGATCCTATAATCATTTTGCGGGTCATTTTTCGTTCCCATTGCTCTGCACTTCGTCCACCGATGGCGACCATGGAAGGAAAACAGAAGGGAGCATGTGTGGGTGGTTACTGGTATGTCCGGTACATTGTGGTGCTGAATAATTATTCGCTTTTACATGAAATGAGCATTGCTTTTGGACGTTTGGGCAACACCCTTCTACGTGAAGAATTCAGCCTCGTGGAATGATTCCCGTAGACTCTTAGTCATACGATACAAATTTGAATCTCGCTCACCAAGAGATTGTACTTTGACATTGATACCGCAGGCCCTGCTTAACCAACCCAGAACTTTGGGGAAAATTTTATGGTGAAGATGAAATTGATTTACGAGCCGGAGTAGCGCAAATCATGATGGTTTTCGTGAACTTAGCTGCTTTGATTTATCTTTAGATTTCTGATTAAAAGATGACACACGGCCTTCCTGGGTATTATTGCAGCCTGAAGACGCCTCCGGTAATATCAAACTCCGTGGATGTTAGATTTGATACAATCTACACCTGTACAGTACACGTATATCACTGAAAAATATCCCCGAAAGTGTTTCACATAACGTCTTGTTATTGGTAGAGGTGTACATTCATTATTTATAAATATGAATTATAGTTGTGCATTGCAAATTTTCCATTTCCATTTTTACACTGGTTGGGTAGATCATTTATTATTGTAAACTGCGTATAAAATGAGTTTAATTTCGTTCAATACTTTCCCAAATTTTCAGAATCTGGCGAGGTGTTTAAACTTCTTCTGATCAATCCCGATGTGAAGCATGTAACTCAGACCACACCCAATCAGTATCAGCAAACTCCACAGCCCCGTGATATTGATAATTCCGTTTTGGCAAGTGGACAAATTCATGTGATTCAAAGGTTGATCAAGTTACCTCATTCGCAACCGATCCGGACACTGCAGTTCGTCCAATACGATTCATCAGGTGGAATCCGACACGTATCTTCACCCCCAATCAGTCCGCTTAATGCGCGGACACATATTGAGCTTTATTTGATGAATGGCTCTAAACTGATACGATTTGCTGTGACAAATTGCTCCCAGGCAGCAAACTGCAGGTGTGTTCTTTGTGTAACTCAATCGTTTTCTATTGTATTCGTTTGCCCTTCATACCGACCAATGAGAGTGAAATCTATAATGCTGTATATTGATTGATCATTTTATAATCGATAGTATCACATGAGAGTCCTAGTATCCAGTTGTAAACCAAAGCGCATCATATTAGGCATGTACTTGTGAGATTTATAGAGCCTCAGACTGGTCAAGAGACAATTATACCATAAAATCATTGAATTTCTTGTGTTAAGTGTATTCCTTTGCATGTGAGTGAATTTGTGAATACATGACCAATGGCAATGAATTGATGGATACAAAACAAAGATCGGTGTCATGCACAGGCGGAGAGTTCTCCAGAATCAAGATTAATTTTAGATCTTTACAAGATCTTTACAAATGTTCCTCTGTTTGAAACAGTTGATTTACTCTGTGAATTTATAAACCCTGAAATGATATCCGTGGGGATTCCTGTCTTAACCCTTAAAGAACTCATACTTCAATGCACACGAAATGTGCAATTTTCGTTTAATAATACTTTCTACCGCCAAGTCGATGGCGTTGCTATGGGTTCACCCATCGGACCTGTTCTGGTGGACATCTTCATGGCCAAGCTAGAGACAACTTCTTTATCTACAGCCATTAGATCTTTCGAACAATATCACTGTTACGTGGATGATATGTTTTTTGTGTCTAACGAGAACACTAATCTTCCCGAAGTGTAGTCAGTATTTAATAACGCACATTCATCAATTAAGTTCACAACTGAACCAGAGGAGAACGATTGCCTTCCTTTTTTGGATGTTCATCTGACCAGGCGCCCCGACGGGTCTATCCAAAGAAAGATACTTCGCAAAGCAACATGAAGTGGACAGTACACAAATTTTCATAGCTTCGTTCCACTCTATCAAAAACGTAACTTCATACGCAGTCTGGTACAGAGAGCAAGGCGCATCTGTTCAGAAGATACTTTGAAGGACGAACTTGAACTAGTGAGGAGAACCTTACTAGAAAATGGCTATCCTAAGAAGTTTATTGACCGTACCTGGACTGAACAAAATAAGCCAACAAAGCTGCCAAAAGCGGAGAAGAAAATGCTTTTTATAAAACTTCCGTTTAAAGGTGGTGCCGCCACTGAGAGGATCAGTAGTTTTATCCTCCGCAGTAAAATCTACATTTAATGCCGCACAGCCAAAATGTGTGTTCTCTACGTCACCAAACATCCGATGCTATAACAAAGATAAATTGCCTATGCTGACCTCATCTACGATTGTCTACCAATTCAAGTGCACTTGTGGAGCAACTTACGTAGGTCGAACGACAGGGCAGCTATCTCAAAGGATCAAAGAACACAATCCACGCTGGCTTACACATGGTGGGAGTGGAACTGTGTCCAGCTCGATCGTTGCTCATCTGGCAGAGACGGGTCACTTGATTGACATGCGCTCAGCATCTACAATCATCTATCGAGTCTCACCACACCCCTCAAGCGCAACAGGTTTCCGTAAGTTAGCGACCGCAGAGGCGATTAGCATCCGACTCATGAAGCCTGAGCTGTGCGCACAACGCAAATTGATTCAAGCTCTCAAACTCCCCTGGCCAAGGGAAGAGAAAATTGCTTGTTCATACAACCATGACGTAACACCATGACGTAATCACTTTGGTTACGTGGTTGAAACTGCGCACAACAAATTTAGAGTTCTCTTGGGCTCATTTCCGAACACATGAGTCATTCACCTTTTTGTTTTTGTTTTGTTCGACCTCATCGAACTTGTTTCATATAAATGTGATTGTAAAGGCTTGAAAAGGAATTCACCGAAAACATATGTTTGCCTACACTGTGTTCTCAATCAATGAGCATACTCCGTGAATTTTAGATCTGTTGCCGTTACGCCATCATTGTTCTGTTCAGCCACCGGGATGCGTATACCTACGGTTACAGAATGCCTTACGTCACTTTTCACATCTGGTCACTATCGGTACTACACAACGGATTCGACTTGGTTAAAGCAGAAATATTTAAATAGTTGGTGGAAGAACACAATGTTCAGATATGACGTGAATAATCTTGCTTGCAAAAAAATGAAACTTATTTTATTTTCCACACTCAAATATTCGGTTTGGAATGTGCACAAATATGTTTCTAAAAACTGTCAACTGCCTTTTTCAAGCAGGAGATAGTGAACAGCATAAAAGATCTATGAACGGAGGAATTAGGTGACCAGGATCAATTGATATTTTGGAATAGGGAAACCGATTTGGCCAACACCATCACAACGACATTTGATGAACGCGCATCTTGGTCTCTGGATTTGATAGAAAACCAAACAGATCACATGTCTTGTTTCACGGGCGGATGGGCAGACCGTGTTGTCTGTTGCTTGAACTGATCCACCTCGGGCGGGGAAGAGTGACTGTTTGTCTGCTCTCCAGTTTGTAGAGATTGGTAAAAATGATTCTCAAACACGAACAAATGACTCCCATTATTATTCGAAAAGTGAATTTGCTTGTCTGGCGAATCTGGGTAAACTTTAGGTTGGAAGCGAAATGTTCACTGGCGTACCACATGAACTCAGGTGATTTCATTTTCCTTTGAGGAATGATTATTTATGCAATTTGATTGCAATGAGCACAATAATAAAAAGACAAACGGGTCAATTACCTGGTGTGATAAAGCGTTTGACATCGCAGGTCAAATCCTTGGAATTGATAGTGTATGACTGGTTGTGGCGCCTCTGTTAAATGTGCTTTTACCATTATTATCCTGAGGTCATGCAGTGCTCAACTCTTGTAAGAAAACGCATATCACAACGATACTAAAGATGGCATTTATGTGAAGAAATCAGTGGCAACAATACTTTCTACTGTGAGCATATTACCTCTGTGTCTTCTATTAATCTGGTTCCAAATAGAGATAGGATTTACTCACACCTGTAGAGCTAACTAACGACTTTATTTCGATTTTCTTCGTTGCACAGTGGATTTTCTTCACGGTTACTGGGCGGAGACGTGACCCTAATAGCATGACACGCTCGAGTAGTTCCCATTCCGTTCATAGTTTTTTTCATACCAGTAGTCTTGAATCCCCAAATCTAACAAAGTTAAAAACGTCTGAGAAGTATGTCTAACTGATGTTGAAGTAACAGATAACTCCATTGTTGCATGTATGATTTATATTACATCGTCAAATAATGTTTCATCCTTGAATAATTGCCGTGAAAGGATTCAAGTTTGGCATCATTCATTTGAGGTTCTGTTGACGTGGTTCAGTTGTTGGTACTATGTATAACGGGTGATAAAAAAAGTTATATGGACTGGTCATTTTAATTGATAATAAACCTCAACATTAAAAACATGCAACGAGCGAACTTTTGGAGTTTTGCCTGTTGAGGTCACACGTTTAGCGCGTACAGCCGCAATTTCGCTATTTCAAGATGACGAAGAAAATTAAAGAAACCTTCTGAACTGTCCGGTACCATAGACTTGGAATAAAACGCACAAAAATCAAATGATCCCTTTTTCGGTGTTTTTGTTGGTGTTTGGTGAATTCATCCCGTGATGTGATTTGTGGGGTGCACCGTTGAAGCAGCACTTTTCCCCCCAGTTTGTATATATCGTCAGTGTCAGTGAGCAAGAGATCTTGGACCATAGCGGGTTCAGAGAAGAACGAGACAAGTGTTCATCACTGTAATACAAGGAAAAGTTACATTTAGGCAAAATCAAATAAAAACGCTTCCTGATCTCGATTTCACAAATTCATCTCACAGTACTGCCAATCAAGCAATCTGAGGCGAAAAGAATAAGTAATGTATAACTACATACCAACTGTGATTATTTTCAGTGTACAGGCATTTCGCCTTTTCATTCAACCCCTGTTTTTCATCCAATTAAATCAGGTTTCATTCGTTTTTCAAAAATCTCTACCAAGCTGTGTTTACCTACAGCTCCTTTCATTAAAGGTTTTCAGGATTAGCACATACAGTAACAAAAATAATGATAATAATAATAAGGAGCATGATGTAACCAAATCATTGAGTATAGATTTCTCAAAGGGGATACACAAACGTATTTATCATCTCTGAATGTAATGAGTAGCTGCGTAGCAAATCACGCTGAGGGATATTGACCAAAACGGGAGAAATCAGTGTGCCTCACTAGAAGTGGTACTATTCATAACAATGAGGAGCGAGCTTACCTTCTCTTTGACATACTTTTTGAGAGAAAACACCACCTTTCACGTTTTTCTTTGTTACAAATTGTACTTTTGCTCTGCGCACTTGCTTCAAACACCCGTATTATAATCTCCCCAAGTTCAACACACAAATGGAATGAAAAATTGAGCCAAAATACACATATTTGTCGCCAGAGGAGTGCATGCAACCACCACATAATTATCAATTCTAGTTGAGCGATGGGTAACAATCAGCCTCTCACAATCAAATTCAAACTTTTATTATGAGTAAATTACAAAGTTGATGTTTATTGAATCCCATAGGATCTGTACACCCTGGGTTCGGTTGGTAGTACGATTAAATTGCAAATTATAACGTTCTATCAATGGTACTGAAAAGTTAGGTGGTTCAATGCTTCATTCAGTCGGGACTTCAATGAGTCGATGGTTGGTGCACAAACAACTTGAGGTGGAAGGGATTTTCATGAAATACAAACTCTGAGCTGTAAGAGTAATGCCTGCAGTCTAGCCGACACTTTTGGAGCAGCAATTTAAACGGACGTTCTCTGAGGTGGCCATTCCTAGATAGTGTTAGTAGAGTACTAAAATGGTGGTTAGGTTGATATAATGTTTGAAATACAAGGATAATGTCTCTCTGTATTCGGTAGAGTCCGGGAATTTACGGCCTTTCACCATGGGTCTTGGATTGCAACCCCTTGAACTTTTCGGAGGTTGGAGCTCCTTTTGGTCGGAAATCAGTCAAACATTCCAAGCCTATATAACATTTTCGGTGTGTTGTCTAATTTATGCTGATTGCAACTGGGGCAAAGCACGTTTTAGCAATCCAACGTTCTTTATGGCCTTTGATGACGCCCTTGCGCCATGTGTNACTGGATCCTCATGAACGACAACCCCCAGATCCTTTTCGTTTGGAGCACTCGGTGATGACAATTAGTATGGAAAGCGACTCCTGTGGCGCAGCGATACCCAACGTTGAATCCGATGTCATTATAAATAGACCATCGATAAACTGCGTCGAGAGTTTCCTGTAGGGTTTCGTAGTCTTCAGAATATTGTACCGTCCTCCATAATGTGGCTTCGTCAACGAATACTAATGCGTTTTCTCCAAGGACAGCTGGTAGGTTGTTTAGAATGCTTGGAAAAGGTACAGACAGAATACAGATCCTTGTGGAACTCCTCGGATAGCCTCAATCAGTCCGGATAAGAAGCATTGACTCGAAATGAAACGATATGTTGTCCAAAGAAATTGCTGACTCCAATCAAGGAGCAGTTTTAGATCACCATAGTTCTGGAGTTTTTACAGCAGTATACGGTGGTTAACTCTGTTAGACGCTTTGGAGAGGTCTAAGAGATCTTCGACTGATCTTGTGTATTCATCTCGTGCAAGTAGCACATTTGTAGTGCTCGAGTGTTTCCTTCAAAACGCGTGTTGGGGCGGAGGAAGAAGGTTATACTTCTCGAAATACTCCATGAGAGAACCCACAACAACCGATTCCATTACTTTTGTTTAGTTGGAACATTCACTGAAATTAC